GAGAGCACTTCTATCAGCGTGATTTCGCCTATCGTGCCTTCACTAACTTTAAGTTAATCGACAACGAATTGTGACTCCCGGGAAAAATGTGACATCTTGTAACCTTATCTCTACCCCTTCGGGTGCTGAGGCCATTGTTTCAGATCGCTAGTGCGCATTTTGTTAGCCTATCCATCCACTGCGGCTGCCATACTGAGACTAGATATGCAAACGCCCCTTATCCGATTGCAATCCAATGACAGGGACGCACATTTTGAAGGACAAGACAGTAGCCTATAGGATGTAACTTATTTTGAATGTCCGGTAGTCCTCAAATAAATTATAGTCCCGTCTCGACTTGTTAACGAAGACGCGGCATAAATTTCGTCATAGTTTTTATCATCAGATATTAGTTTTAGCTCGTCAACGTCTCGTCTTAGTCACAGAAAAAAATGTTCGTTAACAAATATTTTTCGTCCTCGTCTTCGTTGACGAAATTAACACTGCTGTACACAAGTACACAAACATGTTTCGGGTGGTTCAAATCCAAGTGATATGGAGAAATTAGTAGTAAAATATTACATATATACGGTACTATATTGGTTACTGTCCTATATTTGAGATATTTAATAAAAAAAAAAATGCTAATCATTTAATAACACTGTTCAAATCTCAATTCATTTTGTTGTATTGCATATTATGATGTTCCAATGCTTTAAATCACTTGTAGAATTACAAACCCATGCGTTTTAGTTTTCATTATTTTATTTTTCATTTATTTGGTCAAATTTATTGGAGTCAAATTTTAATATCCAGCATGTATTGTTTATCAGCCGCAAAAATCTATGAAAAATCATTGGCTTAATTGGTCTCGGACAGAATTTTAATATTAGTGCTATGATATACACTAACGTTCAAAATTTTGTGGTCTGTAAAATGTTTTTGAGAGAACATTCGTATGCTTACCAAGGGTGCATTTATTTAATCAAAAATAGAGTAAAAAATTTTAATTATCACAATTTACTGTAATAACTGTTTTCTATTTTAATAGTTTGTTTTTATATGATTTCTTCTTGTGATGCAAAGTTGAATTTTTATTAGTCGTTACTCCAGTCTTCAGTGTTGCATGATCTTTAAGAAATCATTCTAATAAGCTGATTTGCCGCTCAATAACCATTTCATATTATTATTATTGTTGAAAACTTTTTTTTTTTTTTTACTGTTTTAGGTCTCTTTGATGAACAATGTTTAAAAGCACAGCATTTATCTGAAATGTTTTTTTTATAACATTAAAAATGTCTTTACTGTTATTTTTGATTTAATGTGCCATTGCTGAATAAACGTAATATTTCTTAAAAAAAAAAAAAAAGTTCTTACTGAGCCCCCATTTTTGAACGTTAGTGTATAGCTCAAATCTCCCCCGAGACATTTTCTGTTTTGGATTTCGAGAACAAGGGCTCTGATTTGATGACAACAAACATTAGCCGCTCCGTCAGAAAGCTCAAATCATAAACTCATTAAAGTCTCTCTTTGACTTGAGACAAAAACCACAATAATCCTGTCTCCTCAACCCGACTTCACACATTTTCCTGAATTACAACCTCTAACAAAGGAAACCAGATTTAAAAACTTGAAACTGTCGTCATTTGAATAAGAAATTCTCTGCCTTGCTAGCGTTCAGAGAGAGACAGACATGAGCAGATAAACAAACACTCACCCCAGTTAAGGTCTTTATGTTGTGCAGTGCATTCTGGGCCTCCAGGGCAGCTTTCCGCGTGTAGAATGTGACAAAACAGCACCCTGGGAAAACAGACAGAGACAGAGAGAAAGAGAGAAAGAGAAAGAGAGAGGTAAGCATTTTAAGCATGCAATAATCCAAGTGGATTTGATCTTTTTCTTTTCGTCTCACTACCTGCTGAGAGAGAAAACAATCTCACTGCTGTCATACAGATCTCTGCCAAACTACACCACAGAGAAGATAAGGAACGAGAGGAAAGAGGCTAATATTTGATGCTTAATAAACAGCCATATGGAGTGGGACTGTGGACCAATGAGATTTCACTGGCTACCCAGCATCCCCACCTTAGACATAAAAACCAAGTGACCCACATGTTGTTGCAAGCATGATTAAGGTAAAAACTCCAGCATCAAATCATTTGTACTTGTTGAAAGAGAACATATTTGATTTGAAGTTACATTTATTTATTTAAAATGTATATATTTATAAACTTATTATAATTTTTTTAAATTTTAATAATACAATTATTCATGTGAGAGAATATTTATATAAATATATATGTTAAACAATCAAACAATAAATAAATAAATAAAGTGTTTGTGTGAATCTTAAAAAAAACCCTGCTCATAAGAGTCTTGTGCTTATGAATCAGACTACACTGGTCACGTAATGTATTTCTGTGCAGCCCAGGAGGACAACCTAATGCGAAGCTTTGTTATAATTGCTATTATTTTGCATTACACTGTTTCATTTTTTTTTTTTACTAAAAAGTGTTTCTATTGTTAACTAAAACGAAGACGAAAAATAAAACTATGAAAATTTCGTTAATTGAAGTAAATCTGAAATTAAATCAAATCTAAATATTAGATGAAAAGCTTAAAATTTAGAAAGTTGCCTTGAAAAATAACTGAAATTAACTATTAAAAATCACTAACACTAAAACTGAAAAAAAAAAACTAATAAAAATGACAAAGCACATAAAATGACAAAAATTAAAATACCGAAAATATAAAAATAAAAGCATATTTAAAATATTAATAAATGCTATAATAGTATATAAATATTACTCAAATAACACTGATTTTACCACACATTCAATTCAGACTGAAAACTCACTTTAGACTTTAGAAATTACATATGTAACACTTAATGGACATGTTCCACTAAAGTCTGACAACCACAAAATGATACATTTTGAGGCCTCTAAAACAGATCGGCCAAAAAGCTCTGACCTTCATCAGAAAAATAAAAACGAGTATGTGTACAGTATGCATCCGCACACATCACTGTCCTTGACTGGGCATTGGAGCACAGGAGCACACACACACACACAAACAGGCAGAGAGGACTGACAGAAAGAATCAGCTGGGGACCTTTGTATGTGTGTGTGTGTGTGTGGCTAAAGCAAGCTGAGACTGCTGGCATGCTTTTTTTTAGAGAGAAAAGAAAAGAGGAACCAGAAAAAAATGAGTGAACTGAAGCCCCTTTTACTGCCAGGGAGAATTTTGGCAGGATAAACTAAGCACTCACTTGTCCCTGGCAACGGTGCAATCCAGTCCATGGCCAAAACAACCTTGTTACCAGTGTTACACACACACACACACACACACACATGTCTGGTCAGCTATCCTTGTGGGGACTCTCATAGGCGTAATGGTTTTTCTACTGTACAGACCGTATATTCTATTGCCCTACACCAACCCTACCCCTAAACCTACCCCTCACAGGAAACTTTCTGCATTTTTAGATTTTCAAAAAACTGTATGATTCTGTATGATTTATAAGCTTTTGTACCCGTGGGGACCACAATTTAGGTCCCCACCGTGACACGAGTCCCCATGAGTCTGTGTATAGTCAGGTTTAAGTCCCCACCAGGATATATAAACCAGTACACACACACACACACATACACACACACACAAGACACCAGTAAGTGATCATACACATTTAAACTCCCAACATGCCTGAAACATTCCCATCAGTCAACATTGACATTGGTCCTTGTTGGGGTGCTTAATGGTTCTGGGCCATTAACACAAAGGTTTTAAGTTCAATCCCAATTAAGTGTGACCCAGGAACTGAAGTGTTAATGAGATCCTGTTTCGGATCAATCACCATTGTGCCTGAAGCAAAATACCGACCCCAGGGGTCTCAGAGGACTGTATTCAGAAATAGAGTACCATAGGCATCTGCTAAATAGACATGTAGTCTAATGGCGCTTTTCCACTGCATGGTACAGCTCGGCTCAGCTCAGTTTGCGTTTTCAATGGAGTATAGTACAGCTTTAGAGTGGGCGGGATTATAGACATGTCGTTATAGCTGCGCCGCCTCTACTGCCGTGACCTCCTGAAAAACTTTTTCTTTCCGCGTCATCCCATCAAGCTCTCACTGGATCCGCTCCTCTGCTATCAACGAGAGGAACGTCTGTGCTTCCTCAACAGACCACGAAACAGCCATTGTTTTGTTGTTTAAAAAAAGGTGCGCACGTTTGAAACTGTTGTGTTCGTTCAAAAAAAGTTGCGTTCGATCCTCGCTGGCTATGCTGATTTAATCTAGCGGGTCTAGTGTCACGTGTCGCAAGTTCAATGACGCCCACTAGTGACGATTCTCTCTGGCAAATCAGTGATCAGCAGGGTTTACACGTCACATTTTGGTAACGGTACGGCTCGCTTGGAACCTCAGCTGAGGTGGTGCTGAAAAAAGTACCAGGTACCAGGTACTGTACACAGTGGAAAACGCCCCAAAAGCGTGCCGTACCATGCAGTGGAAAAACGACATAAGGCCCAGATTGTTTGCTGGCTGTCTGCACAAAAGTACCAAGAGCTTTCTCAAAATTGTAAGCTTAAATCTGACTGGTTGGTTTTGAGAATGAAAATGCTGGTTTGTCGCTTCCTATCTAAGTGGCCAAAATGAGCTCGAGTGTGGACCAGACTTTATGGCGTACATTTACAGTTATATAAATGATAAACAAAAATGTGTTTTCATAAACATGGTACTGTTTGTATGAATCAATTGTGAAACGTTTGATATAGGGGGAGTGTTCACAAGTGTTTTGTGTACACAGATTTGAGTTAATACCACATAAGCCTAAACACCGCACAGCTATTCTAACAGTAATACTACATGAGCTCATAATACTCCAGTAGTATTAAGTAACACTCCACTACATCAAGACTTGGAAGGCACTGTACGCTTGCGTAAGACCAGTGAAGGTAAAGATGAGAATAAGGTTAAGAACTCTGATAGTTCTGACAGATGAGCCATGTTCAAACCTGTTGTAAAAAGCTATATACACACACTTATGAACTCATATTAGCTGACCAATCAGTGTGCTAATTTACTATGTTGCATTGTTATTATTCATAATAATAATAATAATAATAATAATATGAATGAAACCGTACTGTTTGTACGCATTAAAAGTTATATATAAAATATTATTCAAATAATAATAATTTATTAGTAAAATAAAAATAATAATTTATCATAATCGCAGCACAGATATATATATATATATACAATATATATATTATATATTAGTAGTAGTAAGTAATAAAATGCAAATGATAATAATAATAAAAATAAGAATAATATAAAAATATATTTTTCCCCCTTTGTTCATCTCCATATCAATATACATAATTTTTAAAAAAATGTGCAGTTGTGTTGTATTTTTTCCTGAGGTGCTTTCAAATTTTAGCAAGGGGGTCCCTAACAAGTGAATTATTTTATTTGTTGGTCCATTTTGGCATCAAAAAGTTAATTTGGCATCAACAAATATGAAAACGTCTGTGCTAAAGGATTGATTAACATTTTTTTTTTTTTGCTAATTGAAGAGTGGTGTCACTTGTCATATTACTGTTGCTGATTTTCCATGTTTAATGTGAAGAGGCACTTCACATTGTGGCTCATTGATTTTGCATATCATTCTCCTTTTCCTGTTCCTTCTAGAAAATAGAGATGTGCAAAACCATTAAAATGCTGCCTTTGAAACAACGCTAATACGCTAATAATAAACAGTCAGCCAATAAGATCCTGTTAATTCTTGTGTTGTCAGCAAAAGTGAAGGAAACGTAGGCTTTCTCGACTCTGCCAGCAACTCATTCCTTGGCTGTTGACAGCGGTTCGTGTTTAATCGTGTTGCGACACTGGAAACTTTTGACAATCCCAGGCAGGGAGGTCAGAACAGCCGTCCTCAAAGTGTTTTCCACATCCGTACGTGGCAGGACTGCTGACGTACGGTCTGAAAGCCCATGCCTCACCTGAGACAGATAAGACAGGATAAAACCACGAGGCGTACAACCGCCTCAAGAGCTCCGTGACCGTTCGTACTCGTGCTCAGACTCGCTGACGGACGGATTCCATAATATCATACAGGCTTACAAAGGGCTCATGCTCGGCTATTTGCACATCTAACAGTAACAGAAAGATGTTTTTACGTTTGATAATGAACACTTTTCATTTTTTGAAAAATAATTGATTAAAAAGTGTAGCTGTGCTATATTTCTTTAAAATGAATCCCACTTCAGTACCACGATTGTTGTATCATTATTACTAATACAATTCTTACTATTGTTCTTTACAAATAAATATTTCTATTCAATTTCTTTTCTTTTCGATACGGGGAAAAAAGCTACTTGTTTTGATACTTTGTTATATAATTCGAACTATATTTAATTTAATGTAATTTAATTAGGGATGTTAATTTTAACCGGTTAACCGTTAACCGACCGTATAGAATTTTGACCGATTAATACAACCAGTTAAATGGTTTAAAAAGTAATTTATTAATTTTTTTTTTCCCAGTAATTTATCAAAATATTTAAAAAGATTTGCTGCATGGTTAAAATAGGCTACGCGTATAATTTTTTTTTGTTTTTTAGAGACAAAAAAAGCATAAGTCGCGTATAAGTCGCATTTTATTATTTCATTCAGAAATAGGCCTAATACCGACGAGCTTAACTGTGTGCGCACATGCGGCGCCGGCGCAATCAATCACTTGAATTTTTTCTTTCTAACAGTGGAAGCAACTACTCCTTTTAGTCATAAAGGTAATCGGAATTGTAAAAGGTTTGCCTAGCTTTATTATGTTTTTCTCCGCTCGCTGAAACGCTGCAGGTGCATGATGTGATATGATGACCATGTGAATCCTCTGTTGTTTGCTGCTTTTTGCGCATGTAAAATTAATCCCCGGGAAACAAATGTTAGTATTTTTAATGGGTCACAGACACTTATCCTTTCTAATTTAATTCAATTCTAAATTAAAATAATCTTGTCGGTTAACGAGCGTCGGTTGTCGGTTAGGAAAAATAACCGAAATGAACATCCCTAAATTTAATAGTAAAGTATATTTACATTTCTGCATTTTTAACGATGGCTCAAGTGTCCAAATAGTTTTTTGGAGCCACTGTGAATATTTGTGAAAAATGTTCCACCCCTACTATGATACTACTTTTTTCCTTTTCAGTTTAAATCAACAGGTGACCGCGATTTTTTTTTCTTTCTGGAAAGAAAGTAGTCTTTCACAACTGACTGCGAATTCAGGCCCGAAACTGCCGCTTTTCACAATCCAATCAATTCCCGAAGGATAGCATTTTACATCTCGTTTCACTCGGAAATGTGTCGCATTATGGAAGTATAACAGGTTGCGAATCCCGTTTTCGTGTTGACTGTAAATGAAAACGACTTGAATGCCAATTATTCCCAGATTCGGTTTTTGATCTGTTAAACGAGACAGACCATCCAAAGCCCTAAAGTTATGGACTTAATCCCATGAACACACACATATCTGTTAGAATACATTTCAATACATTAGCATAGCGCATCTGCATTTGGCCTTAGAGGACACACACACACTTGTATCATTCTGTTCTACGTGTCCAGGGACTGAAAAGGATGCAGACACAAACACATCCATTCATCTTATGTGCGTGTAGGCGTGCGTATGTGTGTGTGTGACGGACTTCAAAGGCAGACAGGAATACATCTTTACTAAAGAACCCCAGCTGCTCAGGGCCATTTAGCCCTGGACCGCTCTCGCATCACTCAATCAACAAGGGACAGTCTGTTTCTATGTGTGTGCGTGTGTGCAGACCGTTCTAAATTGCAGCCCGGCTCTGATAAACAATTCCTGCTCTTCACCTCTGGGTGCATTTATATTCTATGCCTCCATTCTCACGCGCGCACACACACACACACACACTAGGGCTGTCAAAATGACTGAAAAACTCAATTCAAATTTTCTACTTAAATATTATCAAAATTCGAATTATATTAGAATTTAAAAGGCATAATTTCAGTTAGGGGGAAACAAGCTTTTTTTTTCTCTCCTGAGGCCACAAGAGGGCGCATCGAGCAAAATATTATGCACGTTTCTTCAAAGCGTAATAAAACAACACGACTATCTTTGGAAAAAAAGTGCATAATGTTTAAAATAATGTTTATAAGCCATATATAATTAATAAAGTTGCTATTAGTAATTAAAAAAACAGCACCATGCATGTATGTATAGTTTAATACAAAGGACCGAAAACCAATCACATAGAGTAGGCTACTTTCTTCATTTAAAAACATGAGATACAGTGGGATGGGGAAACACCGCCATAACGTCTTCAGACATGTTTTTTAAAAGTTGAACTTACATTAATTTTACATGGCTTTCTAAACATGCCGCTCTCTGCGAGACGCGGGTGCAACGGTGATAGACGTCCCTCTAGAAAATGTCATAAATATGCGTTCTATATATATATTATTTAATTATTACATTTTTATTTGCTTCCTTTATTTCAATATTACACATAATGTGTGAAATGATACATGCAATGAATTTTATTTGTTAAATATTTAAACAAATAAATAAAATTCAGTTGTTGAAGTTAGTTCCCATAAATAAGTGTAAAACTCTTGAAAACTAAATAAAGACTCCAATGTGTCATGTTTGCTTGTGAGCAGGTTATGTATTAAACTAGTTGGTTGCGTCAGCGTAAAGTCACGAAAATTAAAGTGTGTGCGAACTTGAGTAAGATCTCAGGTTATCTAATACTGTGTGTATATGTTGCTTTAGGACACTTCAAGTTGAGTCCTGTTAACTGGCACACTTTTCTTAATATAATCTGCCCATTAATTTGTAATTTTAAAAGGTGGAAAACTGTCCTTATGGGAGGAAAAAAAAAGGAAAACTAAATACTTTTTTTTTTAGAGAAAATCAGTTCTAATTGGCGGACGCCACAGGGAAAGACAGGGAAGTTAACGCTCACCTTGCGACTTTGTTGGTGGAGAAATCTTTCAATATCGTCTAATTTAATCGCCGAAGATGCGCGCAGATGACCTTTTCCTAAATGAAAATGGGTTAGAGTGAAGCTGAAGGCTAGCGGCGGCCATTACGGCCCCACGGCTGTGTCAGAGGCCTTGATGAAGCAGGACCTGAGAGAGGCACTCTAACTGCTGCTAAATGAACTACAGGAGCACTCATCACCCCGTCTGAAAGCCAATCACACACCTCAGCTCTGCCGGAGATACCCGTCGCAATGCCTGTGTGTGCGCGAAAGAGAGAGAGTATAGGACTTAGGAGTAATGCTCTCCCACTCAGCCCTGACTCTTCCTCCATAAGAGTGAGAGGATGGGCGGCACTGTGAACGTGTACATGCCATCTTCCTGTCTGAGTGTTAACAACTCTGCAGAACCGAGGTTAATGCCTACACTTTAGAGCTATTCTGAAACCCATGAGCTACCTCGCTGTCTACCGCCTACATAGGCGGCATCGGAACCAAAACTAAACCACATAAATGACTGATTTGGAACATTACTGCATTCAAGTCGTGTTGAAAGGATGATATTTATGAGATGAGCGGACATGAATGCCACCACAATGCCGTAATTATGAGTCTGAAACTCTTAAGTTCAGACTTTCTGAGTTGAGGGTGTGTAAATTAGAGGTGGAAGCACCATTTCAATTGTTATTGTTGACAATTTGCATGCATTTTAGGGATGTAACGGTATGAAAATTTCATATCACGATTATTTAATGAACTGTTTAATGAATAAAGCACATACTTTAGCTGGTTTCAGGATAGTGCGACCAAGCTACATTACCCATCATTCTCTGTAGCAGCACATTTGCAATACAATACACTATTAATTACACACATAGAGGCCATTAACAAAGAAGGTTTTTGAATTCTACTGCCTTTCCATTGTTTTTCTGTTAACATGCTAATCATGTTAATCTTTGATTGTTATGCTGTCCTGTTGCAGCTTATTGCGCAAACGACTCTCAAGACCTAGCTTTTTTTCATTCCACTGCAATGTTGCCAAGTCCGTGGTTTTACCGTGGATTTGGGCTACTTTAACACTCTTGCCGCAGGTTGAAATGGCCCCAATAACGTGATATTTAACCCCTGGAATGTGAATTTTATCAGGAAACCCCACCAAAAAAAAAGTGTATTTTACTCCCCGGAACGCGTTTTTTAACGGGGGACCCCCCCCAAAATGCGTTTGGGCTAGTTTTGAGTAGCAATTGGTCGGGTTTTCTTGTGAAAACCTGGCAACCCTGTTCCACTGCCTTATGTTTCATGTATTTAAACTCAAAAATGTGCTGTGTGAATCTTTTGTGCTTAATTGTGTTGTACTGCAGTTTGAAAAAAGTTTGTTCGTACATGATAAACCGAGAAACAAATATGGAACTGACCAACGCATCCAATTAAAATAATTAGAGTTTATAGGTAGAAACTTTCAGAAGGACATAAAGGCAGCAACGAAGCACGCAAACAGCTTGGAAGACTCCAATTTAGTTTGATGTTAGCATGTTGCTAAGCTAGTATTGCGATACTATAAAGATATAAACATCGCAAATACTGGGTCAAACTGTCGGTTTTTATTTAAAATATGTACTAAATGGAATATTTACAAGCATTTTTTTTTCATATTCTGTCCGCCATCTTTAGCGATAGTTTTAAATGAGCCCGTTGCGATGCATTCTAGCAATGCCTAAATAGGTTTCTGAACATAGCTTTTGAGAAATGGAGAAAAAGAAAGATATGGATGGAGGATGCAAGACAGAAACAGGCAGACAGGAAAAGAAGAAGCACAACAGGAAGTCAGAGGCTCAAGCTAACACATTACACATGTAAGCAGGTTTAAACGACGCAGCACAACACCCTGCTGCTGCGATGGCGTGTGTGATGTCAAAAGACAGGAAACGCACACTACCTTTGCTCTGTGGTGGGTTCTGACTACGATCTCGCAGTATGTTGATCTGGTAGACGGCTCCGTACGGCTCAAAAAGCTCCTTTAACTCTTTCTCGGACCAGGAGCGAGGGATCTGACCCACAAACATCTTAATGGCGTCCGGATCAGGCTGGTCCGAGTGTTCCAGGGCGCCGTTCATCTTCCCAGCTGTACCGTTACTGCAGAGAGACAGAAAGTGAGCGTTAGGAAGAGTCAACAGTGTATATCGTTGTCTGAGAACACTGGAAGATGTAAAGGAAGATGGGGAGTGAGAGAGGTTGGTCTCCAAGCTCACTGCGAGAGCAAATTCGGGCTGGACAGATCGACAACTGCTCCTCATTAAAGCAGGAAGACACAGAGACACAAACCCTGATTAAAATCACGACAGTGTTATTACACTCAGCGTGTGCTGTGTCTTGTGTGTGTGTGTTGATGTTGTGTTTATAGTCCTGAGCAGGTACAATTCAGACTCTGTTCCAGATTCAGTAAGCTCTATTACCATATAAAATAACTTTCATTTGCTCAGAAACTTTCATTTGCAAAGAAAATGCACGTTTACAGCAAATTTAAAATGGGAGTCTATGGGGCAAGTGGAGCAAATGCTAAAAATACACATCATGATTATGATGAAAATATCACCGTAAGACTTACTTACAATATTAATTGTTTTACCATGACATTATTGTGATAAAATTGCATACTAAACTTGTCTGTGCAACACACAATTTGTCAACTCATGCCATGACCATGTAAAGCTGAATTTGCCGTTATTAGTGGTCGACCGATATTGGTTTTTTGACAGCCGATGCCGATGCCGATATCTTAGAGAGCAGGGTGGCCGATGGCCGATATAAAGCCGATATATATAAGTATATTTTTTATTTTAATTATAATTTTTATTTATTTTAATTAATGTTTGAGAAACTTGAAATAATTTGAAAATGAATTATATTAAAAATAAATAAAATATGTATAAAATAAACACACTTATACTTTAGATGACAACATCCTGATTCTATAATTCTATTACAGTATTTTTTACAAATAAATAAATATTTTAAAATATATAAACAAAAAGAAAGTAAACACTGTAACCAACAGGGCACTCTGTAATCTGGGAAGTTTGTGTGCATTGGGAATCATATTTTTTCAACTAAAGCCAAGGTAACACTCATTTTACATGCAGCACGCAGTAAAAATGACATGAATATGATAGTGCGCAAATGCATAAATCAGAATAGTTTGAAATAACGAGTTTAAAGTTGATTGCGCGTCTCCAGTGAAGCTGAACTCTCCTCCTGTCCGGATTCAATTCGCACGGATCGACTGTCAGGCAGAGCACACGCGATCAGGCAATATACAAATGCACACTTCACAAGATCTCACAGCTGGATTCGACTAAGTCTGCAAGGTTTGTGAAATTAAATGTTCATTAGTCATTTAAAGGTTTGTTTAAATGATATGCGTATTTGCCGAATGCTGACGGCAAACAAGAAAGTATTATTTCTGCCTTTCTGTTACTAATAATATAAAAGCAATCGTTATAATACTTTTTGTATACCTTTTAATTCATTTGTTCAACAGTTCTATCTGATTATTAGACAGACTTCTATCTGTATTAGGCAGAACTGTTAAACGACAACAACAAACAATGAAGAGGGAGAATGTGAGCACTGTGTGCTCTGTGCTCTGCCGTTCTCAGCACCGTCAAAATAAAAGTCCCGCCTCGAACACATCGGCCAGGCAGAAAAACTTATCGGCCGATGACGCAACCCACAGTCAAATTGATGCAAGGTACAGCGTGTACTCCAGAGGCCGTCAGTGTACTTGTAATTCCTTAATGTTCCTAGCAGTCCATAATGAACGAAATGAGCTACAAACTTTCGATTTAGATGGCATTTTACAGAAAGGTGATGCAGTTAGCACCGTCAAAATAAAAGTCCCGCCTCGAACACATCGGCCAGGCAGAAAAACTTATCGGCCGATGACGATACTTGAAAAATGCCAAATATCGGCCGATATATCGGTCGACCACTACCTGTTATAGAAGAGTTTAACATCAAAAATTGTACTTGCTATTCTTGAAACAACTTGATTCATGTAAAAACCTGAAATGCATGAATGAAAATCAATAAAGTGCTTTAACACAAATAAAAGCTTAACATTTTCGCTTTAACACCATCCATTACATTTGCCCCATAGACTTCCACTGTAAGCAGTTTACTGAAAACAGTTTCACAAATGCTAGCTTCAACATGAATTGAACGTAGAATTGTGAGTGACTCACACCAGAATGAAACAAATCATGACATGATAAAAATGGCTGAGCTGAGTCAGGATGCGAGACAGATCCGTGTGACCCCTAGACGCCCATGCTGCTGGTTCAACGAGTTCATGAGGAATTTCAGGCGCTTGTTTCAGTTCCAGATGAAAGCACGCCGAGAGAGAGAGAGTTATCGACCCCCACACTCACATTTCATTTTTAACCAGCTTACAATAACAAAATAAGTGAACAAGCCTAAACAAACTCAAAAATCACTGAGTGTCTACTCAATTTTATTTTATTTTGGTTTTGCTGATCGATGGCCAACCTGCCTGTTGCCCTTCAACTGATATGAAAATAAATAAAATAAATAAATAAATACTTCTATCCTCAGTGAAGAAGCATAATCATTTCCTCATGAGACTAATTATCGCACTAAGCATTCTGTGAGTAAGCCTCCTCCGCCTGTTTCAAGATAACCGTTCAAATTTCTTCCCTTCGAAACGTGCATTTTGAAATGAATTAAGTACTATTCCCTGCACAAAGGAGAAATTATTTCTTTTCTCAGTACTATATATACACTATACAGTGGGTACGGAAAGTATTCAGACCCCCTTCAATTTTTCACTCTTTGTTATATTGCAGCCATTTGCTAAAATCATTTAAGTTAATTTTTTTTCCTCATTAATGTACACAGAGCACCCCATATTGATTGAAAAACACAGACGTACCCACTGTATATATATATATATATACACACATATATAGTATGTTATGAAAATCAAAAAGTTTAAACAAATAAATAAATATGAATGAAATACTTAAAATATAAAATGTTAATCCCTTTTCAAACTGACAAAAGACATTTAAAATTGATAATTTAATTCATAAATAAAAGTAAATTAAATATGTAAAGTTCAAAAAACAGTCACTGGTCAACTGAAGCAACAAAAGTAATCTCAGAAAGAGGGTGGCAATTGACAAATTTTAGTTTAAAGGGGTCCTATTATGCTCTTTTACAAAGTCTTGATCTTGTTTTGGGGGTGTACTAGAACAGGCTCTCATACTAGGTTGTTCGAAAAACACATTATTTTTCACATATTTTACATTATTACAACACCTCTCTCCTGAATTGGACTTTGAACTTTGTAACTTTGCAGATATTTTTTATGCTCAAACAGCAACATTACAGACTAACTAAAGTTGAAAAAGTGAAAAAGCATAATAGGACCCCTTTAAGAAACAATGTATAAACCTACCATTATTATGGATGTAACGATTCACTTAACGCAAGATGCAATATGATTCACGATACGATTTTCTCACTTTGAGATTTAAAATGAGATTTAAGACCAATTATAAATGAAAATATGTCCTTTTATTATTGCTTGGACAAAATGCTGCCCATGCTGTCAAGTTACAAAAGTGTAGAATATGGTGACTATAACAATTACTCAGCACACAAATAAACTGAATCCATCATGAGGCCTGTACATAGATTATTCAGAAATGGTTTCCTATGGACAGTATTTTGTGTGTGTGTGTGTGTGTGTGTGTGTGTGTGTGTGTGCGTGTGCGAGTGTGTGTATACACACACACATATAAACATGATGCACTACACAATCACAGATTAGAAGTGGAATAAAAGCCATAAAGAACTAACTCACTTAGTCATTCACAAAGCCTAATTTCTCTTTAAACCGATGAAGTGATTTGTCATTCTATTCTATTCAAAAAAAAAAAAAAACAAGGCCTAGAGTTAAAAGAGCAGCAACCGATAAAAAGAAAAGGTCGGAGGTAAAGAGAAGAGACACAGACCTCTGGACTCGATTCACCCATCTCTTGCAGAAGGATCCTATTCTCTCCGCGGAGACGCCCAAGTCTTTGAGCGATTTAAAGGACATTTCTGCATGCGCCACGGGAAAGCCGTCCTTTCAGGTCCCCACGGCAACCGCTGCTCAGCTACCCCCACCCCAATAAATCCCCCGGCAGTTACCGCGGTGATAAGGGTGCCCCTCGCCGCCGATCAAAAAGAAATAATGGCGAAAAAAGCGAGCATGACACAGGCACAAGAGCCAGAAACGGACTCTGATACAGAGAGAGGGATGGGACTGCGAGTGTCAGGGTGTTGTGCGTGCATGTGTGCGCTTGTGTCTGTCACAATTAGTAATTGTTTGGTTCGACAAGGCCCGACTGCAGGAATACAAAGGCACAAGTCACAGGAAGCCTGTAACAGTGTGCTGGAAGACACTCGCACACACTGGCCTGGGGTTGGGAACCACTAATGGTTTCTGAACATTTGCCTTCTTTTTCAGATGTAGAGTGAACACTTTTTTTTCAAGAACTGAATACTTTTATTCAGCAAGGATGCATTAAATTAATCAAAAGTGACAGTAAACACTAAATCACTTCTGTTTCAAATAAATGCAGTTATTTTAAACTATATTTCAAAGAATCATGACAAAAATTTATATATATTTTTTTAAATCACTGCTTTTTTTTTTTTTTTTAATTTTCAACATTGATAATAATAATAAATGTTTATTGAGCACCAAATCAGTGTATTAGAATGATTTCTGAAGAATCATGTGACACTGAAGACTGGAGTAATGACTGCTGAAAATTCAGCTTTGCCATTTCAGGAATACATTATATATTCAAATAAATAAAATAGAAAGAGTTATGTTAAACTGTAATAATATTTCAAAATATTAATGCTTTGACTCTAATTTGATCAAATAAATACAGTATTGCTGGCTTTCAAAAACATTAAGAAGTCTTACCGATTCCAAACATCTGAACGACTTGATATTGCACAAAATAACAAAAACATGATCATTATAAGCTGCTTATTTTTAATGAAATGACCAAAATGACTCCTGAACGCTCTCACTCACTGATCTTGTTTATAATATA